AAATATGCCCATGTGTCATATCTTTTAACTACCAGGATATTTTTAAGGTATCATAATAAAAAAGGCTAGTTTTTCAAAGATCTATCGATTCATACTAATTACATTGTTGGCGGTGCTGGGTGTGTTTTGCCCATTGTCCTTTGTAGCAGTAGAGTAAATTTTGAACACGTAAGAACTGAGTGCCCACCAGCTGATTGGACTTTCTTTATTTGTGGTCACTCGAACAGTTCTCAGATTTTTGTACGTAGTCCTAAGGTAATTTGTAGTAACAAATTACATTTATCAAAATTATTGACATTGGTCAGATACTATATTTAACAGATACTATTATAAATGAAAATTGAGGTGTTTCGTCTGACAGCCCATATTCCATGGAGTCGTAGCATTCCACTTACAACAGCTACAAATTTATCCTTCTGGCTACAATTTTTTTTTAAAGGTCTTAATGTTTACGAAACCTATTTTTTTTTCACGAAACCAATTTTTTTTTTCACTGTGGCCCCTCGGAGAGCACACGCACATCTCCTTCCATACAAAATTAGACAACGAAGCCAAGATTACGGAGCTGTCAAAATTCGTGCTTGGGCCTGTGGTTTGTATAGATTTCTCTTTTTGATTATTTAAGGGATTTCTATAATAAATCGACGGAATCCGTGGCCGAGTGGTATTAACGCCAGGTATCAAGATGTGACCTACTCCAGAGGTCCCGGGTTCAAATCTCGATGAGGGCAGATGTTTGTGTTATTTAAACGAGCATTTGTACTCCACTCATGGATCTTTAATATGTATTTCCATATAAATAAATATACTTTTATATGTATCAGTATATATTTCTGTTATGTTTATTCTGTCCATTACCCTAGTATCCCATAACACAAGCCTACAGTGCTTACTTTGGGGCTAGGCTAATTGGTAGGAGTGTTGGAAAAAAATATCCCATTTATTTATAACATTCACGCTACACGTGCAACTGCAGAGCCGTTCCCGATTCATTTACATAGAAACCTACCAGTAATGAAGCTGCGGTTGACTACATGGTGCCACTGCATGCAGACTGCTGCCACGCCACGTGCTCCATAACTTTGCCCAAAACCAGAAAAAAAACCCGCACTCCCAAAATTAGAAGATTTAATTCCAAAGAAAAATTTTTAGGCGGCACGTTAAGCCGTTGGTCCCGGTTACATCTGCAGTCGCTACCACCCGCCAATCCGCACTGTGCTCGTGTGGTAGATCATAGCCCAATCTCCCTATTCCATACATAGGGAAGGCTGTGCCCCAGCAGTGGGGACATTAATAGGCTGATGATAATAAGGATGAGTAACAAAGATACAAACATACAAAGTACAAACTTTCACATTTGTAATATTAGTAAGATTTGGCTGGCAAGGCAGCGCCATCTCTTTGCATTGTAGGTAACCCACACCCATTGTGCGTCCGCCCGGACAACAAACGAGTAGACTTTTTCTAGTAAAAATGCTCTTCAGATTTATAAATCTAGAAATTAAATGTTTATAAAAATATAATAAAAAAGTTTAAACTATGTATACGATTAATACTTTATTTATCCTCATCCTCAGATGAAGTTAAAGTTTACAGAGAACATTTACTGTTAGTCTGTGCGGAAAGAGAATGGGATTTAGATTGGAGGGCGCTGTAGTGCTTTTCTACCGTATTTGTAAGGTTTTATCCCTTTTAGACATGATTAAATACAAAAACCGCAAGAAATCACAACAACAAAACAAATACATATCAATACAAAACTTTGTCGTTTTACAGATTGCTGGGTTTGATTGCCAAATAAAAATCTTAATGTTAGTTCCGTTTTTCGCAACGCCCATTCTATTTCCGCACAGACTCTATTTGATTTCACCTTAGAAAAACTAACCATTTGTCAGAATTTTACATATTTTACTTTGTTCCCTCCTTCTTACAATCTGGGATCCAATAAAAGAGGCGTTGGCAGGTAGAACTGCTGTACCAGCTATCTTCACCGTCACTTATAACATCAGGTGGGGTGGAGTCATTTGTCGGACCTATCTATAAATAATGTATTTCACGCGACATTGACTAAAAGTTACATCAAGAGTTATGCACATATCTGATGGATAGTATTCAGAAATTAATTTAATTTATACCTTACGTACGATAGTCAGTAGTAAAACATATTGATTCTATCAGATTTGTACAGAGATATGTGGTGACACTGCTGGGCTGTCAGTTCTGCAGCGTCACCAACCCAACCCTATACATCTAATGGATAGCGCACATCACGAAGCGCAAGAATAAAATAAATAATTATTTTCAACAGTCACACCAATTAGCCTAGCCCCAAAGTAAGCACTACAAGGCTTGTGTTATGGGATACTAGGGTAACGGATAGAATACATATACTGTACATATATAAGTATATTTTTATAGAAAATACATATTGAACATCCATGACTGGAGTACAAATGCTCGTATTCATCACATAAACATCTGCCCCCACCGGGATTTGGACCTCTCGAGTCGGCGACACCATGAAACCCAGTGTACAAACCACTCGGCCACGGAAGTCGTCAATCTGCTGAATCAAGAATCTGCTCATACACTCGTATGTATTTAGTATTTTTGTATGAACTATAGCACACTGTCGATTGCGTACGATGCGAAGTGCCCCCACCCATGTGCCCTCGCCACAGTATGCAAGCGGATTGCTTGTTTAAATTCAAACCTCTAGCTTAAAATAAAAATTATAATAAACAGAGACTGGTTTGTATACTTACGGTTTATGCTCCAAGATGTTGCCTTCAATGAATAATCATGTTATAAATGTATCTGACAAAATCTCGTACATATAGTAGTGTTCTCGTACCTCGTACGTAGGACCAGAAATCTCGTATCTGTACGAGAATTCTCGTACGGTTGGAAGCCCTGGGGGCTAATCGGCTATCGCTTACGATTTCATTTTGTTATTTCTGACCGCCGATAGATTTCAAATACTTCACGCTCATTTTCTTTAATATTGTTATTACCAATGCAAAAAAAAATAAAAGAGTGTGAGGCATTAGAAAACCTCAGGCGACCCGAAATAATAATATGAAATCGTAAGCGATAGTGTTCTCCATAGCAATCCCGTTAGGCGAATGGCCCCCTGATTGAAGCACGGACGTTTGGCAGGACGTTTTGTTCAGAACCTACGCTCCACGTGCAACCAATGTCAATTTTGACATAGTTTCCATACATTTTATGTCAAAATTTAAACAGGTTAAAAAATTGCACTCAGAGCGTAGGTTTTGAACGTAGCCCAGTACACTGTACCCAAAACCCGTCAATGCGCTGCGATCCGGCCCGTCACTAACGTGCTAAGTATGCATTTCGCGATGTGCTGCGGTCCGGCATAATATGCGCTATCCTTAAGGCCTGAAGTATACAAAGTTCCATTTAACTAATATACGCATGGTGCCAAGTGAACTTATAATACAATGGTTATGCTAATAAATTGAGATGGTGGCATGGCCCTGCTACTGGTCTGATGTACATTATACAGCCCATCCAAGCTGGATCAATAGATGTAGTTCTCTTTGCTATCAAATTGGGACTGTACAATCTTTTAAATTTGATGGGAATAGGCACAGTTTAGTTTAGTTTTTCAGGGCGGTTTCCGCACTTAGTCCTAATTATTGGACCATTGTGCGTTTCTCAAACACATTCCCATTTACTCCAGCCAGCCTATATCGGTCCAGAAGGAAAGCAGCCTTGGTACACTGCTGCAAGCTTCCGGAAACGATTCTGGCGACTGGAGAAATCGTGCCCGTTGGTCGGCCGCGCTCCTGCATTCCATGACATTCTGTAGCGTTTCTTCTGCCTCCATGTATCCTCTGCATAGGGGGCTGTCAGTTACTCCTATTGTATATAGGTGTTTGTTTAGGGGACAATGACCAGTCAGGGTTCCTATAATCCTGTGAAGTTTGTCCCTTTTTAGTCTGGTAAGGGTGCGGGCAAAACTTTTATTTGCTTTTATTTGAGAATAGGCACAAAGTTGAGCATTAAAGAATATTTTTGTCTTAACCACTTCATCTTTAGATTAGATAGATAGTAAAACACATCTTATCTGATAGGAGCTAACCCTTGAAAATGAACTTGATTCATTTTCTTTTTCATTCGCTCCTAGTGCCAAGCTGAATATGATAACAATTAGAAAATAAAATGAAAATTCACGTATCAAAGCACTGCCGATTTACAAACCCCAATCACTATGTCCCCAAATGAACCCTGGGTCTTTGACCTTCAGCTTAGCATCTAGGTCAATGATCTCAATGTCATGAAACTGATCATTTATTTTATACTAGCGGCCACACTCAACTTTGTTCGCGTAACTTAAATTTTTTGAGAATTGAGAATCCCACATTCTTTTCTGGGATAAATGTATCCTGTTTCAAATAGTCCCAGAAACTGCGAAGTTTCTCTCCCACACGATGGACACAGAACCTGCACGGTGAATCAATGGATTGCTAAATAGTTCATCTATCCTAGGTCCATAGACTATATACAAACAATTTCACCCAAATTGAGTAGTTTTTGCATGATCGAGTAGCAACTTAAAAATATATACAAACATACAAACTTATACATTTATAATATTAGTACGACAAGTACTATACACAAAATTATTCCTATTATTAAGACTGTTCATAATGAGCTCTGCATTGCTAGTTTAAACAGTATATTTAATTGATATTCAACATAATCAAATCAACATCAGGTGGGGTGGAGTCATTTGTCGGACCTATCTATAAAAAATATCTTGGCTGCCGAAAATAACAAAAAGACAAAAATATGTTAATTGTTCATTTATTTATGTGTGTAATATTTAGTAACATTACAAAATAGTTCAGCCTTTTGATGGGAATAGCCATAGTTCCAGCTGATGCGGACATGATTTTATAAATAAATAAAAAAATTAAATGGAATTAGGCGCCAGTATTTTGAATATGAGATTATTCGCTTATGCTTTACACTTAGAACTTTTCCTCTTCGAGACCGTGTTTGAAGAACATCATGATAGGGATTTGGGTACCTCCTACATCTCTGTATTCCATCATGGCAACCATACCATCACAGTCCATAGATTCACCAGTGAAGAACTGAAGTTCCTTAAACCTTCCTAGAATGTCTTTCATAACTTTGTTCATATTGGTCTTGAATACTTCTACTTGGTCAGGCGCTTTCTCTTCCAATTTTGCTACTAATCTGTAAGAAGGATACAAAATTCTATGTTAGTATTATAGATTTAACAATACAATAAATCTAATTCATAGAATAGAATCATCTATGTTATCTCCATTTCATGAACAAACACTATAGAAGTGAATGTTTTTTCACTAAAGTTATTTGATATTGCATTAATAGCTCCATAGGCTGATATTAATTATTCAACCCTTGGTATTAGATAATGCACAAAATATTGTCTTTATGCTAGCAGAACTTTTTTAATATATCAAATTAATTTCATAATAAAAATTAGTCCTATGGCCTTCTCAATACTTTACGAATTAGCCTAAACTAACTAATTTAGTCCTAACACTATAAATTATGCTTTATTGTCCAAATGCATAGGTATAGTATTTATCTGTGAAGTTTTTGTACAACATATTTGGTAGGCAAGTCCATAATTGGATGACAAACTCACTCATTATGGCAAAAACATAATTTTGGCAAAATGATCAGTCACTTTTAATTTCTACTGACAAGACAGTGGTGTCAATTCAGAGATGATTCTCTAAACCTAAATTTGACAATGGCGTATCCTTATATTCTCTATACAGAATAAAAAGGAGACTAATGTTAAATTTAGATTTAAGTTTAGAGAATCACGCCAGACCAGTGGGCCAATCGCTTAACCAGATTGCTTTGGAAAACGCTATCGCTTACGATTTCATTTTGTTATTTCTAAGCGCCGAAATACCTCACGCTCATTTTCTTTAATATTATTATTACCAATGCAAAAGAAAAAAAAAGAGCGCGAGGCATTTGAAAACCTCAGGGGGCTAGAAATAACAAAATGAAATCGTAAGCGATAGCGTTTTCCAAAGCAATCCAGTTAGGCGATTGGCCCCCAGATCAGTGTATTGTTAGTCCACTTTTTGTTTATGAAGGAATGAGTTCAAATGATGCAGTATTTTATCTCTGCTCTTGCAATATAAATGTCATTTCAATGACACTGCTAACTTTTCCTTAATAAGGGGTTAACAGTTAACTTTTAAATACTAGCATAAAATCAGGACCAAACCTTACATAGGTGTAAATTTTGACATCTCTCATCTGATCAGTATCTCCTTTTCATTCTGTATTGAGAAGGAGAAGGATACACTGTTGTCAGAATTAACTTCAGGTTAAGAGAATCATGCCAGAATCAACACCATTGTTAGCAAAAACCATAATAACAACTGATTCATGACACAAATTAAAGTATTCTTGACGGCTTATTTGGTACCTAATCACAAGCACATTCACTCACTTTTTCATGTAGTCTTTTAGGTATAATGTGTACGATTTCTTGTCACCAAAGGCGTATGTTTCCACTAGCCTGTGGTTGAGCACTATGTCCACACCACTTTCCACTGCGGAATCTGTTCCTTCATCAGCCTCTTCAGCAGATGGATTGAAACCGTCAAGTTTAATTTCATCTTGCTTTCTTGACACTAATCTACCGGTGACTTCGTAGATTACTTCGTCAACCAGCTTGACTTTGTATGTGTCTGAGAACATCTCATCGCCTGAAACACACGAAACATTTTAATGTAACAACGCATAGTTCTATATTTATCTGTCGATGTGGCACTTGATAAAATAATCCAGCCTGATGATGAGACATCACTAAATGAAATGTCAAATTCACGGAAATCAAAACCTAACATAATAAATAAAATCTTGGTACAAATATCACAAGGACAGCAAAATTAACATATTTACCAGTAATAATATCTTTATAGATCCTCATTTTTGTGGATTAGAGGCGATTAAAAATAATAAAAACCGAAACTACGGCTTCTAGCCCCAAGAACTAAACCGGAAAGGGCTGTTCAATAAAAAAAAATATAGAAGTGCGACAACATGTTGCCATATGACAATAATTTAATAAGGAGCGTGATAACAAAACGCGACTCATAGAATGAAAAATACAAATTTAAAAACGCTTTTTGATATTAACTGCGAAATAATTTTAAAGGGTTTTTAAATAATTTAGACAAAATGTCTAATATTTTAATCTAGTCATTATGTAATGACTTGTGGACCACATACTTCTTGTTACCATCATTTAGTGCATTTCCTTTATTCTAACTTATTCATCAAAGGATCTGAGATAGTTACTATTTAAACAAATTGTTAAATTAAATAAATTTAATAAATTTCTTTCAATAAAAAAAATATTCTACCTTTTCATTAAGCAAAACGCTTTTGACAACAGAAAGCCATAAATGCAAAGAAAGAAGGATGTAGATGGCGTTTTTACCTTTTAAGATTGAGAATGGAGGTCTCTCTCTATAATTCTACAGTTTGTAGATTATGTGGAGAAGAAAATGACCATGGCACGTTTTTATATTCAAGCGAAGAAAATAATCAAGACATAAGTGTACTTATCAACTCTTATTTACCCCTAAAGGTATACTCATTATTATATTGTAATTGTTTTGACTCCACAGAGAAACAATATGGCGGCGCGCGATGATCGAACATTTTGTTAACTTTATAATTTTATTCAGACATTCTTAAGTAAATGTCTCTAAAATTCAGGTTTCATTAATCATTGTAAGTTTTTTAATGTTGAAATGATATACATGGATGCATTATACCTTTCAACGCGTTTTAAAAATATAATAAAGGAGGCTGAAACTTGACGTATATTGCAATTTCTTCTGCCCAGCTCTGGCGCCAGTATTTGACAATTCCATTCCATCAGCTGATTTGATAGAAACTCAGTTTTTACGTGCCAAACCAAAATTATTAATCCGTATATCTCAACTCGAAGACAGGAAAGTATCTACTGTTTCATCTGGTTCCTATGGCTGTTGAATTTATCTATTGTGCATAATCGATTAACTGATTTACAACAGTACTCAGAAACGTCAAATTAATTTAATGATTCATTAATTCACATGTTAGGTTAGCTCGTTCTATTGGTATTGCGAAAAAGATGACAACAACAACTTTAGTTAAACTTATAAGTAGAATTGAGTACACCCACAAAAAAACTACACCAGCATCCTACTGATATTATCATAATATCTAATATTAATAATGAATGAAAGTTAAGTATTTTTGCTGCTCAATCACGTCAAAAGTACTGAACGGATTTGGATGGAATTTGGTACGCACATAGTTTATGACCTGGATTGAGACATAGTATACTTTTTATCCTGAAAAGGTTCCTGTAGGAATCTCAAAAAAACTAAAGTTAGATAAAAATATAAGTATTACCTCATAATCTATACCTGAGCCTAGGTAGATAATTTACATTATGTAAATACTTTTTACATATAGGTATCAGATGATGGCCATCTCCCTCGAACAGTATGCCCTGGATGTACAATACAGTTGGAAGCTACTGTAGAATTCTTGAACCTCATCATTAATGGCCAGGTAAAAGAACAATATCCCCTTGTCTGTGTCCACCACCAGCCATCTTTGGTTGTTTTTTTTCATCTTCTCATTCGAGTTCTACTGTAAACCCGGGCTTCATTTATATATTAAAACAATCCTGAATAGTTTCTCTACAAACTTATCTATATATTAGATGTGTATAAATCAACCACTTACACAGATAAGGGGCTAAATTTTTATATATTAAAAATAACATGGTGGTGTTGATTCTGGCAGGGTTTTCTAAACCTAAACTTAAAATTTACAACAGCATATCCACGGTAGTTTTATATATAATATTACCTTGTCATTCTCTATACTGAATGAAAAGGGGAGATTAATGTTAAATTTAATTTAAAGTTTAGAGAATCATGCCAGAATTGACAGTATTGTGTAATAGAATTTAACAAAAGAATAAATATTTATTAAAATTTCAGAAAGTTATTCGCCAACTATATGAAAGAGAGAAAGAATATAAAAAAAATACTTTTGGTAACGCAGGTAAAGAGGCTCAAACTTTTGCTGAAACTGTTATTTATGAAAGTAAGTATATTCAATTCTTTTAAAGGTAAAGGATGCGTGATTAAAAATTGACACATTCCATTTTTATTTATAAAACCTCTTTTGTTGAAATAATTATTGTTTCATTAAAAATTATAAAAAATTGTATTATAATTCTGTATTTTTTTAAACAAATTTTTAGAGACCGGTGATACAGTTTATCCAAATGATCATCCAGTGTCGTTACAAGTTGGAGGCATTGAAAAGCCCAAACGTAAAAGAGGCCGTCCACCGAAGAAAAACAAGCCGCCTGAAGCGGTTATTCGAGAACCAGCAACAGTTCAAGAAGAAATATATACCATTGAGGAGGCCAATGGCAAACGCAGACGGAAAACACCCACAAGGTTCAAAGAGGTTATACAGGTAAAAATCTTATGGTACACTAAAGAAAATTAAAAATTAAAAAGAATGAAACTTTGTTTGAACCCTGTTTGGAAAATAACACCAACTCTTATCCTATGATTCATCTATTATTTAAACATAGTTTTTAGCTCATAAATACATAGATATTGGTAAAAAAAACATACTTTTTAAAAACAAGAACGACAAAAAATTTTCAGATAATATTAAGTTCTTTCAAAAATAGTGAATATTAGAAGAAAATTTGGGTCGTTGTATTGCTATTAAAAATTTGTAAATATATATAAACAATTCCAGGGCAAAGAACTTGAAAGGATTTTTATAGAAGAGGGTGTGACTGATGGTGAAGAAAGTGATGGTGGTAAGAAACCTCCTGTAAAACCTGAGATCACGCCCCCAACTCCGAAAGAGCCTGAGGTTATTGGACATATGGAAAAATCGGGGGAACTGGTCGTAGTGACGAAAGGGAAAGGACGTGGAAGACCTAAAGGTGCTTACTTTTTCTATTTCATATGCATTTACTAATTTCTCTATCTTCGTTTTTTTTTTGATTAAACACCTTATTCACTGGGTGTGCGATGACAGTGCCAACTAGGGGTTACCATTACAGTAGCATTTGAATGTCAAATAGCTGGCTGTTATTACGAACATTATATAGATAAATAATTATGCAGACAATCATTTAGGACTGTGGTTTCATTAATAATGCAAACTTATTGAGTATTTTCAGTTAAATGTGGCCAAATTAAATATAAATACTGGATATTGGGCAATCGCACACAATATCAAAAAGAAAACAATGGCTTAAAATGTAAAAAAAAGTTTTGATTTTGTTGCCAAACATCAAATATTATTTCTATTCAATAGGAAACTAAAGCAGTGATAATAATTCTGTTATCTTTCATCACATTATTAGGTATTTTCTGGGTATTTTATTTCAAGAAGAATCTGTCATTAATTTGTATCATCACCACCAGGCCCAGTGCGGATAAGTGGGTGTTAACGCCTGCAAATGCAGCCGGAACCAACGGCTTAACGCGCCTTCCAAAGCACGGAGGAGCTATTATAAATGTGAAACTGTTTCCGTCTGTCTGTGATCTCTTCATGTTTAAACCATTGAACTTGAACCTTCGATGAAATTTGGTATAAAGTCTCGGAAAGAATATAGGATAGTGTCTCCGTAATCAGGTCGCGTCACTCCTCGCGTTTCTCAATGCGCGATTTGCGGGGCGGAGTTCACTTGTGCCGGTCGTTACATGGCCCACGTGGCCCAGCACGGCCCCGTCCTGTACCAGTGCCTGGTGTGCCTGCAGTCATTCCCGAGCCGGTTGCTGTGCGACCAGCACCAGGCCGGCGCCGGGCACGCGGGCCGGCGCACTCACCATCCGCAGGTAGGGGTGTCGGCACATGACCCACGTGGCCCAGCGACCAGCACCAGGCCGGCGCCGGGCACGCGGGCCGGCGCACTCACCATCCGCAGGTAGGGGTGTCGGCACATGACCCACGTGGCCCAGCGACCAGCACCAGGCCGGCGCCGGGCACGCGGGCCGGCGCACTCACCATCCGCAGGTAGGGATGTGGGGGGGGGGGGGAGTCTCGGGTACCGCGGTCCTAGCAATGCGGGTCGGGTGTCATGGTGCAGGAGTATGGTTTTTAGCGCTCTGGCAGATCCCTGTCCATTTCATCGAGCTTCAAAGCAGGTTCAAATGAACAGAGAGCATGAAGAAGGTATCCAGGAGTCCTATATGGATGCGTAAGTCATTTCCCAGACATTAAAAATAGAGGTAGGGGTGTTGTTCTGGTCTTTACATGGCCAAGCACGGGTCCGTATTATACCAGTGCCTGGGTCGCCTACAGTACTTCCCAAGCCAGTTGCTGTGCAACTTCCACCATCCGCAGGTAGGGATGTTGTGCTGTTCGTTACATGGCCCACGTGGCCCAGTATAGCTGTACTGTACCAGTGCCTGGTGTTTCTGCAGTCTCCACTATCTCCACTATCCGTAAATAGAATGCTCTGCCTGCTCACGTGTTCCCTCCTTCTTGTAACCTGGGATCCTGTAAAAGAGGCGTGAAGAAGCAACATGCAGGATGGCTGGTGTGGCAGGTAGAACTGCTGTACCAGCTATCTTCATGTCTGGACTTCATCGTCACTTAACATCAGGTGGGGTGGAGTCATTTGTCGGACCTATCTATAAAAAAAAACCTCTAGTCGGCTGCAGTAGGAATGCGGGGAAATACCTATTGATTTTGTTAGTTGTTCGGACAGGAAGGTTGTTGTGTTCTAGGGTGACAAGTATCGAGACATTGCTCAAAATAACCTTTGTCGAGCGTCCCCTGAATTAAGCTTTTGCACCCAGACATAAACTCTTCATTTTGCATACGTCCCCCTAAGTCTTTTCATAGATTTTCAAAGATTTCCATATCAACGCGATATTAATCGATATTTTGTCTGTCTAACACGAAATACACGCAATATTGTATTGACGACTTCCGTGGTCGAGTGGTTCGTAGATTCAAGGTGTCGCCGACTCAAGAAGTCCAGGGTTCGAATCCCGGTGGGGGCAGACGTTTGTGTGACGAATACGAGCACTTGTACTCCAGTCATGGATGTTCAATATGTATTTCTGTATAAATATACTAGAGGTCGCCCGTGACTAAGTCTGCGTTAACTTAGTTTCTTGAAAATCCCTCTGGAACTTAACATTTTTTCGGGATAAAAGTAGCCTTTGTGTTAATCTAGGGTGTCAGCTAACTCCATACCAAATTTGATTAAAATCGCTCCAGCCGTTTAGACGTGAAGAAGTAACAAACATACACACTCAAATACTCACAAACTTTCGCCTTTATAATATTAGTGTGATATGTACAGTGTATGTATTCTATCCGTTACCCTAGCATCCCATAACACAAGCCTTACAGTGGGCTTTTGGGCTAGGCTAATTTGTTTGAGTGTTGAAAATATTACATTTTAATTTATTGTAATTTCAATTGTTATATTGAGTGCACATGCAGCGTTTTGATGTAAAATTGTCACTAAAGATAATTGTGTTCATGCATTACAATTTAAGCGGTACACTTTTGAGCCACGATTGACGAATCTTAACTTTTTGTTTTAATCTAAGTCTACCTCTCATAAACGAATACAAACTAACATAAATAAATGAATCTTCCCAGGATCCTCCTACCAGCGGTGTTACTCTAGTCCAAGAAGAAGACCCACTGGCTTCTGTGAGTTCAATAGTGAACAACGTGACCATGAGCCAAGGTCTTCCCGACCTGAACCCTATCAAGGAAGAACCGGATAAAACAACTATAGTGGCCAAGAATGAACCAGATAGCTCGGAGCCTCCAATAGCTGCATCGAATGGCGTGAACAACGAACAAGAAAGCAAGTTTCTCATTATTTGATTAATCTATATACAGTGCAACCTCGATGTAACAAACCGGAAGGGAACAAGTAAATATTCGTTATGTCGAGTAATTCTTTAAACTGAGGTTTGTTATATTGAGGTTAGGTTGGTCTAAAATTTGTTATAAAGAGGTAAAAAAATAGTTTCCTGGCGTGACATGAATCACGTAATATGGGATTAAGGGCCATATGTTGATGTAATCGTTATATAGAGGTTTTTGTTTGACAAAATTCGTTAATTAGAGGTATTTACTCTTTCTTTTGGTAGTTAAAAATATGTTATAAAGAGGTTGTTCGCAAAAAATGTTCGCAATGTAAAGGTATATTTAACATTGACTCATATGGAAAATTCAAGGGGATTACGAAGAATTTGTTAAATCAAAGAAGTCGTTATATTGAGGTACGTTATATTAAGGTTGCACTGTATATATAAAACTCAAAGGTGACTGACTGACATAGTGATCTATCAACGCACAGCCCAAACCACTGGACGGATCGAGCTGAGATTTGGCATGCAGGTAGATGTTATGACGTAGGCATCCGCTAAGAAAGGATTTTGATCAATTCTACCCCAAAGGGTATAAAATAGGGAATGAAAGTTTTGTATGAAACTTTGTCAATTTTAAACCGATCGGGCTGAGACTTTGCATGCAGGTATAAGAAGAATCATAGATGAATGTCATTGTGTATAATACAAGCCTGAGAACAAAAACTGTAGCCTACACTTCAGCTCTACACCGAAGCGAAGCGAGGGCGGGCCGCTAGTCTGTAATAATATTGGTAATCATGATCAGCCTATTAATATCCCCACTGCTGGGGGACAGGCCTTCTCTATCGACGGAATAAGGAGATTGGGCCATGACCCACCACGAGCTCCCAGTGCCGATTGGTAGGTGCTACCGACTGCAGATGAAGCCGGGACCATCGGCTTAACGTGCCTTCCGAAGCACGGATGAACTCGAGATAGGAGATTTTTGGTCATCCATCCAATGACCGACTACTGACAAGTTGCTTAACTTCAACGATCGCAGCCGAACGCGCTAACCACCTGAGCCTTCGAGTTTCTCCATTATAATATTATTAAATTGAAGTTTCGTTGTTTGTTTGGTTGAACGCGCTTATCGCAGTCGCAGCAGTATCGTATTGAATAGTGCAATTATCGAGGATGGTTATTTAAATATAAGCTTTAGAACAAAAGGACCAATAGGAGCGGAGCACAGATGAAAAATGTTGCCAGAAATGGGAAAAAAAAACATTTTAAAAGCTTCCGTTGCGTGCGCTGCGTAAACGTCAAAAGTTTCACAAACGCCATTTAAGACGGAATTGTTCTCCTTTCAATGTTGTGAAATGGGACGGAAGTGTGTAACAGGAAGTCGCGAAAGCGCGCGCTATTTGATTTGATTTTAAAATATAATGTTCAAATGGCTTATTCCTTTTGTAGTAGGTTTTATTGATTAATTTAATTATAATTATTTTGATATTATTAGGATTAATTAATGTTATACAGATGTTGTCGATGAGGCATCGGACAAAGATGGGAAGGGCAAGGCCAAATTGAAGTGTCACAACTGCGACAAGATGTTCAGCAGCAAACAGAGCAGGTCTCTGCATAATAAGGTGAGAGCATTTGTTTTATTTATTATATTATATTTACGGAGATGTGAATTATTTGAAATACATATATTTGAAATGCAAATAAAAAATACCTATTTTTATTTTATATTTGAAATATTTTCTTTAAATATTTAGTATTTATAAAATACAAAACAGTTTTGTTACATTTTTAATTCATTTTTCCTATTTTATCTTAATCCAAGATTATCTTATTTATAAACGCACTGATCGTGATCGTAGTGTTGTCATTGTCAACTACAGTCTTTTTTTTAGTTTTTTCTTTTCTATATGGCTTTGCACGGTTTGTGCATTTAGCCAATGTCAAGTGTAAAATGTTTACATATTCTATAACAGTCGTGGTCAAAATATTAGTCAAGTCAAAGTAAGTGGCAGTCAAGTCAATCCCCCTTTCCCTATGTTTCAGTAAATGTGTGAGGATTTACTGAAACCTCCCCGTGGACTTCTTGAGGGAACGTCGAAAGACACTTTCCGCTACTTTGTTTCGCTTGCCAACACTTGTGCATGTTTCCGAACACTTAGTGGTTAATAATCCACCATTATTAGACACTAACATCCGCCACAACACAATTTTTAACAAGAAAAACAAAACTGCTAAAGTGACGCTTCCCGATCCCGCCAAAAAGTCCCAACTACAGTCTTACAAGACTTCTATGGCACGTGAATGACATTGACATAAGGGCGTGGGTGTGAAATTAGGGTTACCAGCTAACAAAATCTTCGTTTAAGGGAATTGTTTAAATGCTATCTCCTTCATATTCATTTTAAACTTTGAACATTTTTGGCTAATAATCCTGTTATTACTATTTTTTCTAATATGGATATATTATATTAAAATAATGTGAATTAGAAAATTTTAATATAATAATAAATAAATAAATAATAATATGTAAATAGTAATAATGTAATTTTATTTTGTGTAATCTGCAAATATATGGTATTTTGTTTAAAATAAAGTCAAATATGTGTTATTACGCTATTATCTTATGGGATGACTATAATTTTTAATATTGTCAAATACCCCATTTCGGTGAGGTAATTTTGGCAACGGGCCTCAAATCAGAGTGACCCACTCTGATAAAAAGAAGGAAAGGACAGAATCTTATTAAATGTTTGTTAAGGAGTCTGATTCTTCAGCAGCCAGTGGTAATGTTAATACTACTACAATAGATCTGGAAACACTACAATATTTAAAAGATAAAGACAATACCTTGGAATCCATGAACAGGTAACCAAATGTTAAAAAAAAAACTCTTCCTTAAATATAATAACACAACAGGGGCAGAACTCGGTAAGCAGGTACCGAGTTCTGCCCCTGTTGAACGACTATTTTCTTTTGGTGGAATGATTATGAGGCCCCATAGGCGGAACATGAAAGATGAACTCTTTGAACTAATACTAGTTTTAAAATCAGTTACATAGAAATAAGTGCTTATCCTTTTATTTATCTATTTTGTAAATACGTATTTTATATTTAAATACTTTTAATAAACTCTTTTTCACATCTCTATATATTTATTATAAGGTTTCCAGTTAACTTTGTACCGCCATAAAAAAATAGGGGTGATAGAAGGGTGAACATTTAGGGTTGTATGTATTTTTGAACATTCTCAGACTCAGACCTACTGAATATGCATATAAAATTTCACGTAAATCGGTCGAGCCGTTTCGGAGTAGTTCAATTACGCACACCGTGACACGAGAATTTTATATATTAGATACTTATTTAAGTATTGTATCTGTTATGCTAGTATCCCATAACACAAGCCTACAGTGCTTACTTTGGGGCTAAGCTAATTGGTGTATGTTAAAAAAATCTCATTGTTACCATGTACCTTGTTTTTAGCGAGTTTCCGATAATTCGGCACTGTTGCAAGCGCCATGCCCACGGAGTAACTGAAGTAATTGCGGGTAGGCTGTTTATTGGCAGACATATCGGTGTACCCTCCGACGAAGTCTTTTATTGCGTTCGATACCATGAAAGTTTAAAACAATATCTTTACATATAATATATAAAATTCTCGTGTCGCAGTGTTTGTGGTTAAACTCCTCCGAAACGGCTTTCCCGATTCTCATGAAATTTTGTGTGCATATTGGGTAGGTCTGAGAATCGGACAACATCTATTTTTCATCCCCCTAAATGTTAAGGGTAATCCACACCTAATTTTTTTTTTTCAATTTATAGATATATTTTTTTTAATTTTTGAAGTGAAACTTCTTTATCGGCGTTGGAAAAAAATTTACCGTCCCATTTTTTTCGGTTACGCGTCACGTTTTTTGGTTACGCGCCATCTTTTTTTTAAAAGAGCACTATTTACCTCATCCGAACAATTGCTTCTTCTGTCAACTTTAAAAAAAAAAAGTATCGACAGCAAATATTCGTGTTTCACACAAGGTAAGGTAAGGTAAGGTGTAGTTATACCCCTTTAGTGGGTGAGTTTTTGAAAAATCTTAGCGCACGCCTATGTATATATTTCTGGAAAGTTGCATGTAGATCATTTTTCGAAAAAAATAAGGCCATAAAGAAGTTTCACTTCTTACGTGTGTACACTAGTACACGCATACATTTTTTTTATGATACAGCATTAGTAAATACATATAACCCTGAATTTTCAACCCTTTACAATCAACCCCTATTTTTTTATGGCGTTACGAAGTTAGCTAAGACTGCTAGTTTAATCATATAATTTGCTATCCAGGCGATCCACCAAGGCGAGAAGCCGTACGTTTGCGGCGAGTGCGGCGCTCAGTTCGCTTACCCGCGCTCGCTCGCGCTGCACACGCACTCGCATCGACGACGCACCGCCAGCAAGGGATACGCATGCGATCTCTGCGGGAAGGTATCTATCATTATAAGCATCATCATCATCAGCCTATTTCAAATTTGTAGGTATTCAATTTTCCATTAAGATATTGCAATACATGTATGGTTTATGTAAAATGAAATGAAAATGAAATGAAAATGAAATGAAAATGAAATGAAAATGAAATGAAAATGAAATGAAAATGAAATGAAAATGAAATGAAAATGAAATGAAAATGAAATGAAAATGAAATGAAAATGAAATGAAAATGAAATGAAAATGAAATGAAAATGAAATGAAAATGAAATGAAAATGAAATGAAAATGAAATGAAAATGAAATGAAAATGAAATGAAAATGAAATGAAAATGAAATGAAAATGAAATGAAAATGAAATGAAAATGAAATGAAAATGAAATGAAAATGAAATGAAAATGAAATGAAAATGAAATGAAAATGAAATGAAAATGAAATGAAAATGAAATGAAAATGAAATGAAAATGAAATGAAAATGAAATGAAAATGAAATGAAAATGAAAATGAAATGAAAATGAAATGAAAATGAAAATGAAATGAAAATGAAATGAAAATGAAATGAAAATGAAATGAAAATGAAATGAAATGAAATGAAATAACCTTTATTGGCCATCTTACATAATAAAAATACTATAAATATAAAGAAAAAATAAAAGAGGAACTTAACCTAAAAACCAAAAATAACAACATAAAACTAAGACGACCAATCAGGACCCTGCCTCAGCTTATGCTGACACAGTGGGAGAATACTCTCTCACTGTATCAGCGCTGGTATTCTGGCAGGGCCTGTGCGAGGACGTGTTAGGCGCTAACAAGCAAAAAAATAATACATTTGTAACAATACATACAACAATGCTTAACTAATCATATTGTATTGCGCATACACACATACATACACATGCTGATATAAATATATATATATATATATATATATCTCTTTATATATATAATTCTTCTGTGAGTGTGTATGTCACTGAACTTCTCTTAAACGACTGGACTGATTTTGATGAAATTTTTTGTGTGTGTTCAAGGGGATCTGAGAATGGTTTAGATTCACAATTTTGTCCGCTGGACAATGTTTTTTTAATTAATTTTTTTTATGGCGGTACGAAGTTCGCTGGGTCAGCTAGTATATATATATATATATACACACACATTAAATACATAAAATGACATAATCCTAAATAAATAAATAAAGAAACGCATCGCAGCACTCCGACGCACTCCAGCGCAGCACTCCATAAATGTATGATAGTCTGGGCCTGGTGACCTGTTAGGCTGGTTTCACAGCTATCCGGGAGACCAGTACGGGCTGTCAGTACGGGCGCCCGGAGCGGTAGCACATGTTAGGCGCTAGAACATCGTTTCACAGCGACGCGGAATGGTGCGCCTAACATGTGCCCGTACTGACAGCCCGTACGGGTCTCCCGGATAGCTGTGAAACCAGCCTTAGTACAGGCATTATCCTTTTACGGGCACCAGTCTCCCACATAATAGGTTTATGTATTTGTATTGATTAAGTTAGTTACCTATTGTACTGTTACACCTTTTGTGAGGAGAAAATGGTTTATTATTTATTTATTTATTAATGACCCCACTGGCACAGGCCTTCCCTATGGATGGAATAGGGAGATTGGTCTGTGGCAGATTGGCGGGTGCTAACGACTGCAGATGCAGCCGGGACCGACGGCTTAATGCGCCTCCCGAAGCACGGAGGAGCTCGAGATAAAAAAAATTTTTGGTCACCCATCCAAAAACCGACCACTGCGAAAGTTGCTTAGCTTCAACGATCGCAGCTGAACACCCTAACCACTTGCGCCATCGAGCTCCTCAATCTTTCTCTCTCCGTTCTCATGCTTAATGCAGAGCAGGCTCTAATTTATTTCTTAGCAAAGTAGATTGGCATACTATATTTTCTGTTCTCGAAAATATAATTGGTCGATTATAAAAATGGAAACATTTCGATTGTGTTTATAAATAGTACATTATAAATGTATTACAATAGACAATTTTTGGTCACCCATCCAAAAACCGACCACTGCGAAAGTTGCTTAGCTTCAACGATCGCAGCCGAACGCGCAATCCATTTGCGCCATCGAGCTCCTCACCAACAGAAACACAACACCAAAAGGTAGGAAGTGTTATTTACTGTGGTCTTTTGTAAGAAAAAAGTTACTTTTCCAGACGGGCGCTCCAATTCCATCAAGAAATCCGCTATGCCCTATCTCTTTTAAAATAAATATAATATCGTTAATGATAGTTTTTATATATTATTACTAGCTGACCCAGCGAACTTCGTACCGCCATAAAAAAATAGGGGTTGGTGGTAGAAAGTTGAAAATTTAGGGATGTATGTATTTTTGTATGATGTATCATAAAAAAATAAAAAAAAAATATCTAAAATTGAAAAAAAAAATTTAGGGGTGGATTACCCTTAACATTTAGGGGGATGAAAAATAGATTACATCCGATTCTCAGACCTACTGAATATGCATATAAAATTTCACGAAAATCGGTCGAGCCGTTTCGGAGGAGTTTAACCACAAACACCGCGACACGAGAATTTTATATATTAGAAGTATTTACTTTTACCAGCATCTCTTTTACCTTTAAAAGACGTATAGGGCATAGCGGATTTCCCGCTTGAATTGGAGCGCGCGTTATACTTAATTAATCACAAACCCCTTTCTAAGCAATGGGCAAAATGAGGAGCTCGACGGCGCAAGTGCTTAGCGCGTTCGGCTGCGATCGTTGATGTTAAGCAACTTTCGCAGTGGTCGGTCATTGGATGGGTGACCAAAAATTACTATCTCGAGCTTCTCCGTGCTTCGGAAGGCACGTTAAGCCGTCGGTCCCGGCTGCATCTGCAGTCGTTAGCACTCACCAATTCGCACTGGGCCCGCGTGGTGGGTCATGGCCCAATCTCCCTATTCCATCCATAGGGAAGGCCTGTGCCCCAGCAGTGGGGACATTAATAGGCTGATGATGATGATGATGGGCAAAATAAAGCAATATTTTCCCAGATCCTGAACCACCCATCGTCGGTGGTGTACCACAAGGAGGCGGAGCACGCGGGCCAGAAGTACGTGTGCAGCAAGTGCGGCAAGAGCTTCAAGCACAAGCAGCTGCTGCAGCGGCACCAGCTCGTGCATTCGCAGCTGCGGCCCTACGCCTGCAAGGTATCTTTGATGTGTAACTGTGTTTTTTTTTTTTTTTTTGAAGTGAAACTTCTTTATCGGCGTTGGAAAAAAATTTACCGTCACATTTTTTTCGGTTACGCGTCACGTTTTTTGGTTACGCGCCATCTTTTTTTTAAAAGAGCACTATTTACCTCATCCGAACAATTGCTTCTTCTGTCAACTTTAAAAAAATAAAAGTATCGACAGCAAATATTCGTGTTTCACACAAGGTAAGGTGTAGTTATACCCCTTTAGTGGGTGAGTTTTTGAAAAATCTTAGCGCACGCCTATATATATATTTCTGGAAAGTTGCATGTAAATCATTTTTCGAAAAAAATAAGGCCATAAAGAAGTTTCACTTCTTACGTGTGTACACTAGTACACGCACACATTTTTTTTTATATATGATTAGGTAGACAAATGACTCTACCCCACCTGATGTTATGTGGTGATAAAGTCCAAACGCGAAGATAGCTGGTACAGCAGTTATAAACTGCTACACCAACCATCCTCACCTTGCCGGCCCGCAAAAATGCTTCTTCACGCCTCTCTTAAAGGACCCCAGATTATAGGAAGGAGGGAACACGTGCGCGGGCAAAGAATTCCACTTTCGAATAGTACGACAAAGAAATGAGTCACCAAATTTCTTTGTTCGTGTAGGAATAGTGGCCACAGTAAGTCGGTGGCAACGTAGGCCAGCGCGAGTGGTCCTCTGAAGAAAAGGTGATGGAGGGAGTGAAGTGGGACGGAAGTGTGTAACAGGAAGTTTGGGAAGCGCGAGCTATTTGATTTGATTTTAGAACATAATGTTCAAATGGCTTAGACCTTTTGTAGTAGGTTTTGTTTATTTTTTACTAATATAAGGTGAGGTTTCAAATGTTACACATCATACGCGACTACTGTAAGGCTCGCTCGTTTTTATTTCTCTCTCTATTGGATCACCAACAGTTACTACATCAATACATCTTATTTAATACAATTTTACATTCAGTGATATAATCCGTAACCACTTATAGGCGAACTCAGCGTGCATGACATTAAGCTTAAGCAGATCTTATTTATCATTTTTAGTTTTTTAGGCATGTAACTAATCCAGGTTTCTTTAGATTTAAACACCAAACAGTTATATGCTTAAAAAATATTATAACCATAATTGCTGTTTCTTCTTTCAAATGTTTAATACTTGTAAAAGTATTCATTTGACATTGTTGATTACCTACATTGTGAAGAGATGGCGCTGCCTTGCAGCTTAAGAAGAGCTAGAAAGAATTCGACACGACGGTCAGGGCTGCGGTACCATAACTGCTCAGTGCATTCGCCCTGATAGCGAAGGATGCGGGTTCGAGTCCCGACTGCTGCCTGGTCCGCGTGGAATTTTTTCTAGTAATATTTTCTTTAGATATTATTTAGTTAAAATTAAGTGTGTATGTGTGTGTGTGGGTGTGTGCCACCACCAGTATATTTTTTCTTTTCTTTTCAAAATACTTTATTTCATAAAATGGATATGAAGCGCGAAGTTCCAGAAGGGATCATTTCGAACACGTGGGTCAATTTAAATCTTCATCAAATTTGTATAATGAATCATTTTATTACTTATAAGATACAAAGAACAATTATAGTTAATATATTTGTTTCTTAGGTTTTCACGCACATCACTCATTAAATAAAACTAGTTTTAACGGGTTAAAACTAGTATTATTCAATTATAGTTAATATTTACAACAGACTCCATGCAAAATTTTCCTGAAGAAGCATTTCTGCAGACCGGCTAAGTGAGGATTGTTGGTGTGGCAGTTTATAACTGCTGCACCAGCTGTCTTCGCGTCTGTGCTTTGCCATCACTTAGCAGCAGGGGGCCAATCGCATAACGGGATTGCTATGGCTATCGCTATCGATTACGATTTCATTTTCTTATTTCTGACCGCCGAAGATTTTCAAATGCCTCGCGTTCGTCTTTTTTTCTTCTGCACTGGTAATAGCAATATTAAAGAAAATGAGCGTGAGGCATTTGAAAACCTTTGACGGTCAGAAATAACACTGAAATTGTAAGCGATAGCCAGAGCAATCTCGTTGAGGTAGAGTCATTTGCCTATCTAGTTAGAAAAAACCTATTTTGAGACTGTTCAGTGTCCTCAATATGTCTTTCCTCCTGGCAGACTTGCAACGCTACGTTCAAGACGAAGGCGAACCTTATCAATCACACTCTCCTACACACGGGTGTGAAGAAGTTTTCCTGCGAGATCTGCAAACAGAGGTTCTCGCACAAAACGAGTCTCACGCTGCATATGAGGTGGCATACAGGTAACAATATCTTTTATCTTTGTATATAATAAATAATATAAATAATAAATATTTCCGACACTCGCACCAATTAGCCTAGCCCCAAAGTAAGCACTATAAGGCTTGTGTTATGGGATGCTAGGGTAACGGATAGAATACATATACTGTACATATATAAGTATATTTATATAAATACATATTAAACATCCATGACTGGAGTACAAATGCTCGTATTCATTACACAAACATCTGCGCCCACCGGGAATCGAACCCGGGACCTCTCGAGTCGGCGACAGCCATGAAACCCGGCGTACTAACCACTCGGCCACGGAGGTCGTCAAGGTCGTCGTAATGCGATTCAACTAAGAATAGGACCGACTGGGCGCCATTTTGTAACGTCATAACTGTCAATTTAAACGAAAAAGGGAGAGTGAGCAAAAAAAGGTTTTATTTAATAAAACTTAATTACTAAGATTAAGTGTGAAATAACATCAGATTTTTTTAATAAATTTTATTTACTGAGATTGAGAAAAGAAAACAACCGATTTTTAATAATATTTTTATTTATTAACAATGTGTGAGAAAAAACATTAATCAGAATTAAGCTCTTCGATTTCGCTCATCTCTGCATTACCGCCGGAGTAGTTTTGGATATTCATGCACTATTACTAGGTCACATACGAACATGCATCCTTTATGTAAACGAAAATTTTAAATCGATTTTATGAACGCGACTTAAAATAATATTTGGTTGACGATTTAGGTTATCAAACAGTCATAGCCAAAGCTCAATGAGTGAAAAAAAAAATATCAACCAATATTAATTATCAATATTTTTGTTATTGTTTGTTTACAAATGTTTGATTTTTATTCTAGAATCAGCCGAGTGCTAAAAAAAGATTTAAAGTTTTTTTTGCAAACCGTAGTTTTCAAGCGACATTGACAGATGGAGGTCATTGCATTTCCTATTCTTATTTGAATCGCATTATATACATCTTAGATTAAAACAAAGAGGGAAGATACGGTATGCTCATAATAACATGAAATAAAATATGTTCCGACTCAACTACATAAGCAACTGCGACTGCTGCTGGCCCTAATTTATTTCTTGGTAATTTCAAATTAGATTCATCATCATCATCAGCCTATTAATGTTCCCACAGCTGGGGCCCAGACCTTCCCTATGGATGGAATTGGGAGATTGGGCCATGACCCACCACGCGGGCCCAGTGTGGATTGGTGGGTGTCAACGGCTGCAGATGCAGCCGGGACTAAAGGCTTAACGTGCCTTCCGAAGCACGGAGGAACTCGAGAACATTTTTGGTCATCCATCCAATAACCACTGCAAAAGTTGCTTAACTTCAACGATTGCAGCCGAACGCGCTATCCACCTGCGCCATCAAGTTCCTCAAAATAGATTGGTAGAAAATATAATTGGTCTATTATAAATATAGGAACTTTTGGATTGTGTTTATGATAGTAAAGTATTAAAAATCACAATAGTTAAATCCGTGTTGAAGTTAAAAACCGTACAATAAAATTCACTTCATTCATGATTATGTTGACAATTGTAACCAAAGACCTGTCATTTTTATGACATACTAACTGTGCCCCACGGTGTTACCTGTAGTTTATTAGGGAAAATAAATTGCGTATTAACAGTAAGCGTATATGTTAATCCAGGGTGTCAGCTAACTCCATACCAAATTTTATTAAAATCGCTCCAGCCGTTTAGACGTGAAGAAGTAACAAGCATACACACTCACAAACTTTCGCTTTTATAATATTAGTGTGATGTCGGTGACATATGTCGAATTATTAAAAAAAAAACGAGCCAGCCTTCCAGTAGTCGCGTATGATGTGTAACATTTGAAACCTCACCTTATATTAGTAAAAAAAAGTAATACAACCTACTACAAAAGGAATAAGCCATTTGAACATTATGTTCTAAAAACAAATCAAATAGCGCGCGCTTCCCAAACTTTCTGTTACACGCTTCCGTCCCACTTCACGTAATCACTCCCACAAACTTCTTGTTACTTTAGGTCAGAAGCCGTTCTCGTGCAACAAATGCGGCAAGTGCTTCAGCCAGAAAGGCAACCTGTCGGAACATGAACGCATCCACACGGGCGAGAAGCCCTACGAATGCAACGTTTGCGGGCGACGATTCACGACATCCTCGCAACATCGACTGCATGCCAGGCGACACGACGCAGTCCGCCCCTACGTCTGCAATACTTGTGGGAAGAGGTAAACTGCGCAGCTACACTTAACACTTATACAGGCAGTCCTCGTACTTACGGCATGTTCTCGAAATGCGCGACGTAAATCGAAACGACGTAAGTCGAGACACATTTGTTCATATGTTTACATGTAAAACTCGAGGATTGGATCCTAACTTTACCTAACCACGGACTCAAAATGTCTTGTTGAGGTGGCATAGTTAGATTAAAATTCACTTGATATGCATGTAAAAACAAAATATGTCAAAGATGCAACAAATACTAATGTATTACGTCTTGATCGTCTGTTGTACTTGCAGTAACTAAACAAAATCAGCAGCATGTACGAAACAATTGACGTATGCTTGAGGAATAGTGTCAAAACATTGATCGACGTAACTTGAAACGACGTAAGTCGAGGACTGCCTGTACCACAAAATACAGAGAGAGATTAAGAAATTGTTATAATGTAACGTCTGCGGGAGACGATTCACGACATCCTCACAACATCGACTGCATGCCAGGCGACACGACGCAGTCCGTCCTTAAGTCCTCTACGCACTATACATCTTGCTGGATCCAGCATGCGGGACAGCGCTATACGCGTAAAAGAGATCCTGTATCTCCATCTCTTTTACGTGTATAGCGTTGCCCTGAATGCTGGATCCAGCAAGATGGATAGTGCGTAGAAGACTTTACGTCTGCAATACTTGTGGGAAGAGGTAAACTACACTTTCAGACACATCTATCGGCCCACTTAGTGTTATAAGTTTCAACGGTCTGTAGCAAAAATATAATTAAATTAGATTGAGCAATGATAATATATTTTTAAAAACTCACCAAAAACATGATTTTAGGTTAGCTTCGAAACTGGGTATATAATTTTACTCAATGTAACATTTATTTTTACTTAGGGTCTGTCAAAACTATATACATTAAATTTTGAAATGTTTGGTGGGCCGATAGATGTCTCTGACTTATATATAGCTAGACTTAAGATTGTTAACAATTTAACATCGTTACATAATATAGTTGCTGTAACTAACTGCTTGCTTAAACAAATTGATCGAGTTGTGCATTCAATCAGGTAATGGGCGTTTAAAAAAATAACAACTAACAATTTCTATCTGTTTGATTTATTTACATTTTTTTTAAGCACGAAGACCTTTTCTATAATCTCGCGACAACCCGTTGGTTGTTTGGTTTGGTCTGATAAACTTAATTCAGTTCAAGTTTTTGAGATCAAATCAAATTAATTGCACCGGTGACATGATTCTTTCTGCTGAAACTGCCCAGCATTCGTCACTCTGTCGTACAAATCAAATCATACGAACTGTGATCCAAACGATTTGAAAGATTGTATTAGGCTTGTTGAAAATATATTGATGTATCGATATAACGATATTTCTTTCTCGATATATAGAAGCCGACATTGATATTTTTAAAAATATCGATATTGCGGTTTTTTTTTCACTCTGGGCATCCCTAGATTGTATCATTTAACCCGATTACCTAACGAATGGGTAATGATCGACCCGGGTTAAGTCAAATGATGACAATAATTTGATGTTTCAATTTGTTGTAAATGAAAAATAAAGTAAGCACTTTCCAACGCCAATTAGGTGAAAAGCGTTAATCAAAAATACATCGTCGCCTATAGACGGCTTGCTTCTTCACCAAGGGTACCACTCGCCTCTTTCGTGGGCTGCTGTTGAGCAAGTACAATATCCGTGTTGAACCGATAGCGCGATCCAGGTGAACAGCAGTGTCATCTCTCAACGTTTAACGAACTATTCATGATACTAATCCAAAATGTGGACTAAAGTTAGTCTTGGTACATTATCCTGGTCATGGCACCACCTGAGATGGATGAGTAAAACCTAAGCATAATCTTAATGATTATATTCTGGTGCTAATTAAGTGACTATTACGGTCACGGCACCACTTTACAGGATATTCAGTGCTCTATGGGCCTATTCTTATTAGATACCATATATATACGCTTTATTTACTCGTTTTAGATGAGCACATAAGGCACTGAATAATTTTACTGTCGATGGCGCGACCGTGACAGTCGTTTACCGCCAGGATATGCTCATTTTAGATCAGGCTTACGCCTTACTTATTTAACTCAGAGTGTCGTAGAATACTCGGTTAGCACGAAGTTACAAATAAACATAAGTTACATACAATACAAAAATTATGTATTGAATTTTTGCTATTTCTTGTACCGTCTTGTCTTATAATGACTATAGTCTTGTAATGACTTGCCTTACTACGTTAGAGATAAGCATGAGATAGTACTGTTCGCGGATGATACATCACTTTTATTTAAACTCAAACGTAAGGAAACAGTTATTGACGACGTGAACAGTTGTATCTATAAGGTAGTCCACTGGTTTAATGTTAATAATTTATTACTAAATGAAGGAAAAACGAAATGTATGAAATTTGTATTACCTAATGTAAAACAGGTAAAAACCAGTGTGAATGTAAAGGATAGGAATATGGGCCTTGAAGACACCACAGTATTCTTAGGGATTACTTTAGATTCTAAGCTTCAATGGGGCCCACATATTGATAAATTGTCAAATAGACTTAGTTCTGCAGCATATGCCGTAATGAAGATACGCCAGTTAACGGATGTAGATACGGCCAGATTAGTATACTTTAGTTATTTCCATAATGTAATGTCGTACGGAATCTTATTGTGGGGAAACGCCGTCGACATTCAAACTATTTTTGTGCTGCAGAAGAGAGCTATTCGATCAATTTATAATCTTAAAGTTAAGGATTCCTTAAGAGATAGGTTTAAAGAACTTGGTATAATGACGGTCGCATCACAATACATTTACGAAAATTTATTACTTGTAAGAAAAAATATTAATTTGTTTCTTAAAAACAGTGATGTTCACACACTAAATACAAGAAACAAAAATAAACTAACTTTACCTGCTACTAGGCTTCACAAAATCAATAATTCATTTAAAGGTCTTTGTGTTCGCTTATACAATAAAGTCCCAAGCAATATCCAAGAGTTAAGCATAAATAAATTCAAAGATAGTATAAAAAAAGCACTTATTAAAGAAGCTTATTACAAAGTGTCCGATTATATTACAGACAAAAATGCTTGGGTTTGAACCGTTCCAATCATTCCAACAGGTGTTCCATATTAAATAAATCATGATTGTATGATTTCTGATTTCCGTCTCGGACCCCACTCAAGTCTATAAGGTCGGACGTAATAAACGTATAGGTATTATCCATCGGCGTTAGGTTCACGACTCGGTCGTCGTGGTCGACGCACATGCGGCGCGAGGCCGCGGCCGCGGCTGCAGCTGCGGCGGGCGCGGGCGGCGGGGGGGGGGAGGAGGTCGGCGCCGCGCCGCGACCCCACGCCTGCAGCGAGTGTCCGCGCGCCTTCACGTGGCGCTGGGCGCTGCGCAAGCACATGCGCCGGCACACGGGCGAGAGGCCGCACCGGTGCCCGCACTGCCCCAAGGCCTTCGCCGACCACTCCAACCTCAACAAGCACAGGAAGGTATGATGCTCCACGCCGCGACCCCACGCCTGCAGCGAGTGTCCGCGCGCCTTCACGTGGCGCTGGGCGCTGCGCAAGCACATGCGCCGGCACACGGGCGAGAGGCCGCACCGGTGCCCGCACTGCCCCAAGGCCTTCGCCGACCACTCCAACCTCAACAAGCACAGGAAGGTATGATGCTCCACGCCGCGACCCCACGCCTGCAGCGAGTGTCCGCGCGCCTTCACGTGGCGCTGGGCGCTGCGCAAGCACATGCGCCGGCACACGGGCGAGAGGCCGCACCGGTGCCCGCACTGCCCCAAGGCCTTCGCCGACCACTCCAACCTCAACAAGCACAGGAAGGTATGATGCTCCACGCCGCGACCCCACGCCTGCAGCGAGTGTCCGCGCGCCTTCACGTGGCGCTGGGCGCTGCGCAAGCACATGCGCCGGCACACGGGCGAGAGGCCGCACCGGTGCCCGCACTGCCCCAAGGCCTTCGCCGACCACTCCAACCTCAACAAGCACAGGAAGGTATGATGCTCCACGCCGCGACCCCACGCCTGCAGCGAGTGTCCGCGCGCCTTCACGTGGCGCTGGGCGCTGCGCAAGCACATGCGCCGGCACACGGGCGAGAGGCCGCACCGGTGCCCGCACTGCCCCAAGGCCTTCGCCGACCACTCCAACCTCAACAAGCACAGGAAGGTATGATGCTCCACGCCGCGACCCCACGCCTGCAGCGAGTGTCCGCGCGCCTTCACGTGGCGCTGGGCGCTGCGCAAGCACATGCGCCGGCACACGGGCGAGAGGCCGCACCGGTGCCCGCACTGCCCCAAGGCCTTCGCCGACCACTCCAACCTCAACAAGCACAGGAAGGTATGATGCTCCACGCCGCGACCCCACGCCTGCAGCGAGTGTCCGCGCGCCTTCACGTGGCGCTGGGCGCTGCGCAAGCACATGCGCCGGCACACGGGCGAGAGGCCGCACCGGTGCCCGCACTGCCCCAAGGCCTTCGCCGACCACTCCAACCTCAACAAGCACAGGAAGGTATGATGCTCCACGCCGCGACCCCACGCCTGCAGCGAGTGTCCGCGCGCCTTCACGTGGCGCTGGGCGCTGCGCAAGCACATGCGCCGGCACACGGGCGAGAGGCCGCACCGGTGCCCGCACTGCCCCAAGGCCTTCGCCGACCACTCCAACCTCAACAAGCACAGGAAGGTATGATGCTCCACGCCGCGACCCCACGCCTGCAGCGAGTGTCCGCGCGCCTTCACGTGGCGCTGGGCGCTGCGCAAGCACATGCGCCGGCACACGGGCGAGAGGCCGCACCGGTGCCCGCACTGCCCCAAGGCCTTCGCCGACCACTCCAACCTCAACAAGCACAGGAAGGTATGATGCTCCACGCCGCGACCCCACGCCTGCAGCGAGTGTCCGCGCGCCTTCACGTGGCGCTGGGCGCTGCGCAAGCACATGCGCCGGCACACGGGCGAGAGGCCGCACCGGTGCCCGCACTGCCCCAAGGCCTTCGCCGACCACTCCAACCTCAACAAGCACAGGAAGGTATGATGCTCCACGCCGCGACCCCACGCCTGCAGCGAGTGTCCGCGCGCCTTCACGTGGCGCTGGGCGCTGCGCAAGCACATGCGCCGGCACACGGGCGAGAGGCCGCACCGGTGCCCGCACTGCCCCAAGGCCTTCGCCGACCACTCCAACCTCAACAAGCACAGGAAGGTATGATGCTCCACGCCGCGACCCCACGCCTGCAGCGAGTGTCCGCGCGCCTTCACGTGGCGCTGGGCGCTGCGCAAGCACATGCGCCGGCACACGGGCGAGAGGCCGCACCGGTGCCCGCACTGCCCCAAGGCCTTCGCCGACCACTCCAACCTCAACAAGCACAGGAAGGTATGATGCTCCACGCCGCGACCCCACGCCTGCAGCGAGTGTCCGCGCGCCTTCACGTGGCGCTGGGCGCTGCGCAAGCACATGCGCCGGCACACGGGCGAGAGGCCGCACCGGTGCCCGCACTGCCCCAAGGCCTTCGCCGACCACTCCAACCTCAACAAGCACAGGAAGGTATGATGCTCCACGCCGCGACCCCACGCCTGCAGCGAGTGTCCGCGCGCCTTCACGTGGCGCTGGGCGCTGCGCAAGCACATGCGCCGGCACACGGGCGAGAGGCCGCACCGGTGCCCGCACTGCCCCAAGGCCTTCGCCGACCACTCCAACCTCAACAAGCACAGGAAGGTATGATCCACGCACAGATCCAAATGAAAACCCGCAAGTGTATCATGCTTTGCGAGACAAAAACGTGACGAAAGGGCGAGAGGCCCAACGATATTAAATACCCTAGATACTCCACGTGCACTCATAATATGTCCCAATCGAGAAATGATTGAACTCCACTCAATTCAGTTCTTGGTTTAGAGACACGGGCGGACCGTTGAAAAGACAAAATGCCGCAGAGCTCCGTGAAAAAATGCCAAAAAAAATACTATATTACGTAAAGTATAGTTAGGTAGGTATCTTATCAATATTTGTTAATTTAACGCATTTGAAGCAAATTTTGAACTTACTATAAACTGATTTAATATTAAATATTTCTGATATTCAAATGCATGGTCGGTTTTGTAGCCGTCTCTTTTCCTCGCGGTCCAAACCTATATTGCTAACAGCGCATTCAAAATTGCGTGAAGAGTCAAAAGAGTGAAGGTCTATATTCTTCCGCATATAGCAATAAGTCGTAAAATTTTACGAACTTGCATTTCGAACTGTCATAACTCTTTCACGCATGCGTTTTAATTCAGACCTTATGCAATATGCATTAAAATTGACTTTTAATGTTAAAATAATGCTTTATATTGTTTTTGAGCACGCGATCATCTTACGGAGTTCCGTGGATTGTCCAATGTACTTTTTGGACAGGTTTCGGCCACGATTTTGTTCGTGTTGTGTATCTAGAGTATTTAATATCGTTAGAGAGACCAAATGCTTTCCTTTTCAGTCGCTATTTAAGTTTATATTTTTACCATCGTAGAATATAATTCTACTGCGTCAATCAATTGGTTGGTCGTGACGGCTTCTGAGCCATTCATGGTTGGCAGTAATGAGACTGCTGTCTTTTAAATCAAAACCGTCTTTTGAAGCCATTGTTTTCTCTTTTTCTTCTTCGTAGTCAGTTAATATTTTGTTGTATACTTCGACTTTTTATTAGCTACAGTAAAATGACGTTTCAAAATGTCATTCCGTAAAATAATGTTGGCAGCCTAATTTCAATAGGGATGTGCTTAGGTTCACAGAAAATCTAATCGTTCCTTAAGTAACTCATAATGATCATACTTAATTCTATTTATTATTCATATAAATAAAAGGCTGCATAAAATCTCAAGTTAGTACTGGTTTTTAGTTACGGTGCTACGATGACGCTTGTCCGGCATTTTATTTTATTTGTCATTCACTAATTCGGCTTCTAACTTCTATTTTGAGTGCACGAATAACTTTGCTTTGCCCACTGCGAGTTGTTTTAGTTATCTTTATTGTTAATTTTTTGTTATGTTGTGTTTGTTTTTCGTTACCTACTTATTATTGTTAATCGTGGCAGCTTCTTTTGTTTGTTACATCGAAGACATGGATGCTTGACCTCGCAATAAAACATATAAAATGCAAGAAGTGAAAACTTTATTCCAAGTAGGAATCAACAGTGATGAAGTGACAGACAGATTTGTCATTAGTGTGACCGGAAGCAATAGTGATTCCGAAAATGATTGATTAATAAATAACATTGTTATGACAATTTTGTTTAATTTTGGATGTACGTTCTTATACTTCCACTGAAAAAGATCAATCCTTTACTAAAGTAATAATAATAGAATAAAAAAACATTACAACTTAATATTAAATCTCTAAAACAAAACCAAACTGATCACTCATTTATTGAATGATTCACTTACTCACTTAGCTACATCCCTATTTATTTTTCTTCAAAAAGCGGTAACCCACAAAATGTCATTTTACTGCAGCTAATAAAAAGTTTTACTTCACGTATCTGTTATTTTTATATAATAAGTTTGAATTAACTATAAACTATCTTCTACTGATACTTCTGATTTTTCTATTTTATTACTATATTGAGACATATAATTTTCCATTTTTATTTATATACAAAGATTCTACCTCTTTAAGTTTCTTTAGACCTAACGCTTCTTTCCTACGTTTTGGACCTAGTTTTCTTATAGCTTCTTGTAACTTCGTAATTTGTTCAAGCAACTAATAGTTCTTAAATAATAATAATTCTATTTTTACCTCTTAATACTAATTTTCTGTTTTTCGATACCATATTTCCTCCTTATCTTCGCTCTTTACATTGTACCTTGTTTTCGCATCACTACTGCAACCGCTTGACGCTCAATCTTCTTCGTAAAGCACTTGTAGAACTTTTTCCAAGCCAGATATAGGAATACCAATGCTGTTCATCATCAGCCTATTAATGTCCCCACTGCTAGGGCACAGGCCTTCCCTACGAATGGAATAGGGAGTTTTTGGGCTATGACCCACCACGCGGGCCCAGTGCGTATTGGTGGGTGCTAACGACTGCAGATGCAGCCGCGACCAACGGCTTAACGTACCTTCCGAAGCACGGAGGAGCTCGAGATAGTAAATTTTTGGTCACCCATCCAATAACCAGCCACTGCGAAAGTTGCTTTACTTCAACGATCGCAGCCGAACGCGCTAACCACTTGCGCCATCGAGCTCCTCAACCACCAATGATGTTATTGCAACTAAAACTGCAACCATGTATACCAGAGATGGGACATGCTTCTCTGCAATGTCTTGTGCAGCACTGTTTCCTGCACCATTCTGTGCTATGATGATTTCTTCTTTTTTGTCTTCAGAAGACTGTCCTCCTATACTATGGTTAGGTTGTTGTAGTTTTTCTTGCGGTTTTAAAGAATTTTAAACTTTGTTAACGTGTACCGCGACTTTTATACGGCTGGGGCTTGGAACCCATACGGCCAAGCACTGCCCATAAAGCAGTGGACTGGCAGGGTCGCCATGAGATATCAGGAGAAGTAATAACACACGAAAAGTCGAGTCTTTACTGAATATTTATTGAGATGAAAACAGGGTTTTATAGTAATTTGAAGTAGGTCAAAACGATAATGTTCTACAATGGCATTTAGCTTGTTTAGAAAAATATCCAATTACATGTTACACATTTACCTTAAAGAAAATAGAATATATACACCGTGTTTCTGAGGATATACATTAACTTTGAATAATACTTCTATAGCTCTTGTTAAAAATATCGTACAAGGAAAATAGTAGTTTAAATAGCATAGTTTTTAAGTTATTGGTAATTTAAGTTTAACCAACTTAATTGTGTTGTGCAGTGAGAAAGAGTCTTTATCTGTGAGATGTTACCACTTTGTGTAATCAAAACTATCAAACTATCAACTCTTTGACAATGGTCATTAAGTCATAGTTTCAAAAGTCAAAATTTTAAAAAACATTGTTGACGTCAAGAAAAGTTTCAAAAAGTTTATGTGGACATGTGAACCAAAGTTTCAAATGCGACGTTGCCAGCTCAGGTAAAGAGTAATTCATATAAGATAAATTACATCTAAGCATTTAGTTTGTATGAAAATAAAAAATGTTAAAGAAATTGGAATTCATAAAAGTGTCCATAGTAAAAAATGATCAATTTAATAGTCTGAATAACATGCTTAAAATTAGTGTATGTCCTCAGGAACACGGTGTATGTATATGTATATATATACACTAATATATATCTCTTACCTATTAGACAAGTCCGTCCGTCCGTCCGTGGTGCTGTTTCAGCGGCCAAACCGTAAGAGATAGATATAGAGAATGTTTAAGTTAAGAATAGTTTGATAAGACTACAAACCGGATGTGAGTAACGTAGCACTTCCGGTTTTCGAGAAATCACGTGATTTCTATTTCAAACGAAACCACACAAAATCTCCGAAGTTCTCAATTAATTAAATCCTTTTTTCTTTTTTGGTGAACATTTGGTTCACAGGTTTGCTAGTATATATATTATAGTAAAAACAATGATCATTTTTATACGTACTATTTGTTGACAGCAAGTGCACAAACAGATCAGTCTCCTGGTGAAGGATCAGAGCGGGGGGGTATCCCTCCCCCCCGTCGCCCCCTCCCCCTCCCGAAGCCCCCGCCCCCGCCCCGCCCCCGCGTCGGACGACGACGAGCGCGTCATATACGTGGCGTACGACGTCAACGACGACACGCCGGCCTACCATATACTGGGCGAGGAACAGGTGAGACTGCATGCTTTAAGGTACTAGTCCGAACTGAACCGCAAGCCGCAGCTGCAGACTGCAGGCGACACTACTAGTTTCTATCAATCTCTATGAAATTTATTCCGAGTACTATTAATCTGCGGCTGCGGCGTGCAGCGACCGCAGACTGCAGTTCCAGTGGTGTCGCCAACCGCGGAGAGGTCACACCAAACATTTGAATAGATATGCCCTTACCATAGTTTGACCGCACCGAAATCTGCCAATACTCGAATGAGCTAACACGCATATTTTTCCATTTTTTTTCCTTCATTTTCAACTCCGCCAATCCCTAGGGTTTTGGGTCACGTGACAATAGGTAAGAAAACTATTATCTTTTTCGTTAGTTTTTAATAAAATTATGAATATTTATTTTGTAAAAATAGTAAAAACCCCTGCCAATATTCTAAACACAGATGCTAACAATTGGCACTTTAATTTTAACACTATCAAATACCCTATTGTACCTCTATTCCCAATCGCCTCCGCAAGGATTGCCACCATTGGAAATTGCAAATTATGGGCAATAGGCATTGCCCCCACTTATAATTGTTTTTTATTCGCTTCCTGTGGCGATCCTTGCGTAGGCAACTGGGACTAAATGGCCTTCGTAATGTCTACATATTGTAGGTATAATAGTATTGCCCAAGTCTTTGCAATTAGTAAAAAAACAAATGTGTACATTGCACAGGCTATGACAGCGGAAGGCGTGCCAGTAGAGGAGGAAGTCGTAGAGGGGGGGATGTTTTCACCAGAACTGCTGCAGCACAACGTACAGCAGGAACAGCTTCCGGTCAGTACTAAGCTGTAACCATGACATAACCATTGAATATTTTCTTATTTTATGTTGCTCATTTGTAGGTTATATTTTCAGTTTTTATATTATTATATATATATATACAAGCTGACCCAGCGAACTTCGTACCGCCCTAAAAAAATAGGGGTTGTCTAGCGGACAAAATTGTGAATCTAAACCATTCTCAGATCCCCTTGAACACACACAAAAAATTTCATCAAAATCGGTCCAGTCGTTTAAGAGAAGTTCAGTGACATACACACTCACAGAAGAATTATATATATAAAGATATATATATTTCATCATCAAACTTTAAAAGTCCCCACTGCTGGGGCACGAGCCTTCCCTATGGATGGAATAGGGAGATTAGGTCGTGACCCACCACGCGGGCCCAGTGAGGATTGGCGGGTGCTGACGACTGCAGATGCAGCCGGGACCAACGGCTGAACGTGACTTCCGAAGCACGATAGAGCTCGAGATAGTAAATTTTTGGTCACCCATCCGATGACTCATAATTGCCAAAGATGCTTAAGTTCCACGATCGCAGGCCAAATGCGCTAAACACTTGTGCCATCGAGCTCCTCATCTCGTAAAATATCGATAGTCAATATTTTCTTGAGTTTTTTTGTAAATTCGCCATATTATGAGCTTTTTCTAAAGAAGTTTTTAAATAAAATCGATCGTAACTAATTTTCTTTTTATCCAATAACCAATGTTGCACCATAACAATATCAACGCTAACCTGCATAATGGTTACCAGAAATATCATCTTTACTTACCATTTCACATAATATTTAGGTGATAGATGAAGATGGCAACCCCCTCCACTTCACCATGGAGGATGGCACGCAGCTCGCCATTACCCTGGCCGACGGTAAATCACTGCAGGTCTGTAGATATCTACACACTCGCATACAAATAATTACATAATACAATAAGGGTGATGACGGGGTACATTAAACGAAATTCTATTTAGTCCGTCA